GGGTGTAACCCTGCAATGAACCAGCCTCCTATTCAAGGGGGAGCAACAATATTCCTAGTTGCTTCATTCTACAGAAACGGGGTTGGCTATTTAGGCTACTGGCTTGAGGCAGACTAAAGTCGCACACGCTTTTAACTGGTTTCGGATCTTCCGTTAACATAGAAATTTATTTCACCCAATGGTAGATCGAAACACGGGAATGAACATAAAATAACTAACAACGACCGAACATGAAGAATGCAGAAAAGCGGCAAAGCGAAATAAACGAAGAAACTTACAAGACGAATGTGATGAACCGAAGACGAACCGAAAACCAGAGACGCTCACAGAACCCAATGACGCTACTAACTGAAATAAATTACACGCGAACCGAACTTATAGAGTATGCAAATGAACATAACATATACAGAAGGGCACAAAACAAAAGAAACTAATTACGCGAAACTTAAAACCAAACGCGAAGCTAGAAGCACGAACAAGTGTCACAAATTCTGGCGCCTACACAGACTTAACCTACTACAGCTGCGTGCAAAAGAAGTTGTAAATGCATGATATTTATCTTTTTTGCAGTGAACATGATAAAGTTAAAGTTGCTCAAGGAGTATCAGGATCTGTAGCAGACAAAGGCTCTATTCACAGATTTTCACCGTACCTTTGTACTGGGGTTCAACATAGCTGCCAGGACTTGGGAGCAAAGAGTCTAACTCAACTGAGGTCAGTTTCTGTTTAACAATTAGATTATGAGCTCAAGATTTCTATGAGGTGATAGTTGATGAGGCCGAAGGCCGAAGACCGAATCAACTATCACCTCGTAGAAACTGAGAGCGAATAATCTAATTGTTTTAGAAGAATTCTAACCGAAATAAACGCAAAATACGGTATCCAATGATTTCTCTAAGTGTTATTAAACTTTACGCTTTAACAGAATTGCACGGACTGAATTTTGTAATTGGAAATTTGCAGTTGTTGACGCGCGCGCACCCTTGTTTTCAGTAATTTAAAGTTTTTTATAGTCAAGAAACGGGTAATGTCCATCTTTTAGTCCTCTCAGGAATTTCTTTATCCATTTGCACCTAAATATTTCTTCAAAACTGCGCGAAAACGTAAAGCGGCGCCATTTCGTTGCCGAGTGACAGCCACTACATTCTAATAAACAATTAGATTATGAGCTCGAGATTTCTATGGTGTGGCGCCCTCGTCAACTATCACGCATAGGAATCGAGAGCGAATAATCTAATTGTTTTAGTATAAATCTACTAGTCGTTCAAAACTTTATCTAAAACCTCTTCTCAGACACTTCAAAAATGGCAAGAAGCGACCATCCTTTTGTTAGCAAGGGCACAGTGCTACGCTTCTCACTATCTATCACAGGATAGATAGTGAGTAGCGTAGCCAATCAGAGAACAGCTAAGAGATTTATACTAATAAAACAAAGGTTGCATAGGCCTCCTTGCAAATGCCGGCCTAGTGCTACTTAAATAAAGTTTGACCATCTCATTGAGTCTAGGAATACTTGTGATTTCTATGCATGGTGTAAAACCGGAGTGAAATCAAGCAGTGTAGGCCAGATGGTTATGATTTAGCACTCCGTATGGGTTTTTGCATTATCAGCTGTTGCCATCTTGTTATTTGTGTCATTGCACTTGTCTGGAGTCTAACTTCTTACCTCTTCGGTTTAGATCTATGATGTATTCTGGTGAGCTCAAATTTGAGAAGAGGTCAACCTCAGCACAGATTGAAGGAGGCGTTCATGGACTGCACTCGTAAGAATATACACATCTGTTGCCTCATATGATAGGTTTTACATAATGTAATCAGGTTTTTTCAGTAAAGCACAACTTGAACCTTGTCAGGAAATGGTGTACCAGAGAATACCCACACTTCTCCCCTCGTCTACCGCTATGAAACTAATTCTCGTTTAACTTCATGCTTTCTTTGAAAACTTTGGCTTTTGAAACTCCCCTTCCCCTCGGAATTTTTCAATGGTTTCTATAGCATTAAGCGACTAGGTGCATTTCCACTCCCTCTGGATGGGATGTTACTCCATCGCAGGGTTAGCCCCAGCATTAAATTCACTGGTATCCATGTAGACATCTAGATGGAGAGCAGCACTCAAAATAAAGTATATTTCCCAAGAACACAATATAGTGAGCTCGGCCAAGGCTTGTTGAACGCGGACCACTCAATCCGGAATCATGTGTGCCGATCATTACGCCAACTTGTTGTTAATCAGCCTCTGCATTGCCTTGTTTTTCAGGTATGAGAAGAGGCTGTTCTGAACTACAAAATAGGAACACCACTTATATCAATATATATTACCCCAGACAAGAAGTATCATGTTGATTTAAGATTTGTAAATAGCATACAGTAAAACTGAGAACTTTACAAATATAATATGGTATAGTATTCGATACCTTGGAGGGATTTTCAGTGACTTTCAAAGCTTGAATGCGATTGCCTTGTATAAGATGTGCTTATATACCTTGTGTTTATCTACCCCGACACAAACAAGGGGATGCAATTCATGGTAGAACACACATATGGTTTGCTTTTACTTTACTACCGTTTGCGTGCGGTTAGCATTTATATATTGTGTTTGCTTGCGGTTAGCATTTAAGGAGTGAAGGGGAAGGCGACTAAATGTGTCCTACCATGACTTATATACCCAAACAAGTATCTTATGCTTTCAAGCCAAACTTTGTGATTCCCCATACCTTACTATTAGAAGATCCGCAGGGCCAGGTTGTTCAAATCCCGATTAAGCTAACCCAGGATTAGCGAGAATTTTGATTTCAGTTTTGTACCTTCGCATTGAGGTTTTCTGTTTATATTTTTTGACCTTCAGGTTTGAGTTTGAATAATCTCAAACTACACAAAGCATAAGCAGTGAAAAACATTTTTATTTACGAAAAATGAATACTTCAGTTAACTTTTAATCCTGGAAGGGCATTAAATCTGGATTGCGTTTGACTGCCGTGGACATAAATCACATATACATATTTTTCTACGATATTTATGAATACTATTTTATTTTGAACCCAAAAAGCCCCCGAAAAATCCATACGTATCTATTAAATATTCGATATTCCATTTAATTCTGAAGTTTTCAAAGCTTCAGACGACGTTTTTTGTTCATTAATTGTTTTACTGGCCCGTCGATGCAGTAAAACAGTTTCGTTATAAAGTGTTCAATTTAAAGTCATTTAAAAATTCCTCCAGGTAGCAGATAAAGTGTCCCAGCTTAAAATAAGAACCGCTTGTTTCGTCGCTATAGTAGTCTGTTTAGTATTTAGAGGTATACTTGGTGTAGCAGAGAAATTATTATCATAAAAAGTCTTTAAACCGGTAGATTTTAAGCTGTTTCAACTGACTATAACAGAAAATAGTTGTAGCAAAGTCAGTTGTAGTATTTTATGATACATTTATTTATATGGAACTTAAAGTTTGCCGGAAAATTTAAACTGTATTTCTCTATATTGAACTGAGATAAATCAAGCTAGAAATATTTGACATTAACCCATGTCTACTTAGAACATTTTTTACTGTTACAAACATACAAGTAGCGAAAACGTAGATCCTTAGCTATTTAAGACTTACGTTTTATGTTTGTTTGTTTGTTTGTTTGTTTTTTTACATATTTCCTTCTAAGAAATTTGCTTACTTTCTTCGATTGCTTCTGTTTAAGGTGTCGTTAAGAAACTTGTGGAGAAGTAATGTTGTACCGTAAGTTTTTCCTTTCAAATGCCGAACGAAATTCTTATTCCTTGACACTGAACTTCATTCGTGCACAGCTAATGTAATGTCACAATAAGATGCAAATAAATGCTACATATATGTCAATACCTTGCGATGCTTTTCTTATAAGTTTCGTGGAAAAAGCTGTAAACATTACTTTTAAATGTAGTAGCGCCTTCAGGGAAACCTGTGGTCTACAAGACCAGGTAGTGACTTGATGGAACTGGTTAAATAAAACCGGACCGCTTTAAAAAAAGAGACGAACAGACTGACAGCTTGGCCTGGGTTGTTCGAAAGGCGGACAACGCGGCTATCCACTGGATAAATCACTATCCAGCGGATAGCGTGGTTTGTTTTGTTAACACTTATCCACTGGATGGAGATATAGCCGGTGTATAGCGTTATCCAGCCTTCGAACAACTGGGGCTTGGTTTTTATCCCTTGTAAGAGGGGTCTGATGTGTAAAAACAGCTGCCCAGTTCTAGTTCCCTTTGCGGACCGAAAGCAGTTTTGTTAGGGATGTGCGACGAAATATAGAGGCCTGAGCCTATGTACCATAAATCAGTGAACACGTGATGAGCAAAATGATAGAACTGGTTAAATAAAACCGGACCGCTTTAAAAAAAGAGACGAACAGGCCCAGGTTGTTCGGAGGTTGTTCGAAAGGTGGACAGCGTCCACACTACGCCGGAAAAATTTGAAAACGCAGCTTTATTTCTACGGTCAGGCCTAACGTCCACACTAATCCGGCACGAAAACGGAGCTGTACGAAGACGCACTCTTAAATCCGGAGGAATTTGAAAACGCCGGCTTTTCGTGTTCGTGTGGACGGAAAACATTTTGAAAACGGAGCTTTTTGAAAACGATAACGTCACGAGAATCACGTGATTTCCCTGACCGAGTTTTCCTCAAACACAAATCCAAAATGACCGCTGATTGTTGCGTTTTCAAATTTCTCCGGCGTAGAGTGGACGGAAAATATTTGATGCGTTTTCAGAGTGAAACCTCCTTTTGCAAATTCCTCCGGCGTAGTTTGGGCGGCGCCTTATAACTTCGTATCCAAATGTAATTTAAATATCCCGCACTTATTAGAACTGATGAGAAGACGAACCAATCAAATGGTTGCAATTAATCAGCCATGCGGTGCGTGGTCGCCAAACGTGTGCAAATTTAAATTGCAAATGATACATCCTTGAAACATTTGCTGCCTTGAATTCCTCGGCCGTACGTCTTCCACAACCTCCAAAAATTCAACTGGCAGAAATTCAACTTCGTTGTCAGCCACTTCTAGGAAAAAAAGTACCAAGCTTTCATTTTGGACTGTCCTTTCGTTTGGAGCCTTTACGAAACACCAACACCTGCAACAAGAATTTACTTCAAGCAAACCTTGCAAATACGTGCTTCGAATTAAGATGGTTTTTGCGCCTTGCCAAGGTAAGAACATAAGTTAAAACCAATGTACTTTGTAGAGGTAACTTAGCCGTTTTCTTCTTCGAACGTTCTTTATGAATAGTTGTAAACATTTCAAAACAATTGGAACATTTCATATGTTACTTGTCCACTCGGTAATGAACGTCGACATTTAGAACTTCTGATATCGGTGAATTCATTCGACCGATAGTGATTTATTGCGATGGAAATCTTTCAAAGGCTTGATGCAATTGAGTTCTTGTTCTCTAAAGTTGATTTTGAACAGTAGCTCATTTTACATTGTGCGTTCATTGTTTTTACTCGTTGCAATGCAACGAGATGACATGCTCCAAGTCTTTGTTACTTATTTTCACCAGGCGAGCTTTATTAGAGGAGGCCGAAAGCTCTAGACATCCCTGAAAAGTATAGGAAATAACTCGTGTCATTCTTTTTTAAAAAATTTATCCTTATTCCCAGGACTGAGAAACGACAATGAAACCCACAGACATCCCAGTGCAGTGGTGTTCCATGGGTGACATGCGTCAGGTAGGTCGACCCTTTCAGTCACAAGCTCAAAATTTACATTGTCCTTTTTGACTGTCATACATTTCTTTTAATGCCAGTTTTGAGAATTTAATAGTACAACCAGACGATATGCCCAAGTTTGAGAAACTCGCTTTCTCTCGTCACTAATTCGCTTCATGGCAAAAAACACAAACGCGGCCTTGACTAGGTGGTATCTTGGACACGAAAATGGGAATTGGAATATTTGTCAATTAGTTTCAGAATTTAGGGGGAAGAGATTTTCAGACTTTTTGATCTTTTTTTCCTCCCATGGCATTTGTGAAGTACTTTTTTTTTGTTAGTGCATGAATACTTTCTTTGCCTTTGTCCTATTTCCTATTTTTTCCTATTTTTTTCGATGTGCATTTTTTCCACCCTTCTCCCCCGCCCCATCACGTTCCTAATGCTAAATTGTGAGTCTTTAAATCCTATCACAGAAATTTTATTCAATACATCCCGCTAAAATTCCTTGGGACAGTTAATCATGCCATGCCACCTTTATATTCGGCAGTGATATTTTTGTACCTCGATCAGAAAGTGAATCACGTACAGTCAAACCCCTATTTACCCCGTTTAAAAGGGGTAAAGACTATAGAAAAACCCTCGTCGGGACGACCAAAAGGTGGCCGCGGCTGCTTAATAGAGGTGGCCCGGTTAATAGGATTTTATTTACAGTATTTTACGAACAATAATTTCGGGGCTTTGATAACTGGCCGCTTGATAAGGGGTGGCCGCTTAATGGAGGTTCGACTGTATTTACAAATATACATTTGTTTATCTTAACGCAATGTAGAAAAAACTTTGATGTCATAACTTACGTTCCTTTTTGCCTAAAATCGCTTTGTAGATTGGTGTTTCTGTGGCTCCCAGCTCATGCATGGTTTAAGAAAATAAAGCTTTAATGAACTGAAGGCGAAGAATGTCTCTGATTAACAATAATAGCGAGTTTATAAATCTTTATTTACCATAGTCGTATTTATCTCTGGTCAGGCTAAACACACTCCAATAGATGATGATTTGTTGGTTGTTGAGTCGTGATAAAAACCGTGACTATTAAAGCACGGACAACTATTCAGATTTCTGAGAAATTAGTTGAAATTGCCGGAAACCTCCGTCGAATCTCCGTCAACTTGTGTAGCAGCGAATAATCTTTGGTGACCATTTTTCTGCAAAAAGACATGAGCTTGAATAAGGCAACCTGATATTTCCAAGGACCAACTGCGATTCGTTGATTGCTTTTGCACTTAAAAAAATATCCTTTCGAGATTGCTTTGCGAGCCTTTGACAACTTTTACCAGAAAAAAACATAACTGAGATTTTCAAAGTCAATTTTAAACAAAAGAAAGATTTTGAGACAACATATTTGTCATGGACAGATAACTAACTTATCGACCTAAATTTTTTTGGTAGCGGGCCTTCATCATTGCACTAACGAAATCTATCCATATGAGAAAATACTTTCGCTGACCCAGAACTCTGAATTTTATACTCCCATCGGGATTTCAGTGACCTTGAATGACCTTCAAAAGGACGCGGTTTTCATTAAGCTTTATTATAATGCTAATTTATTAATTAATATTAGCAACGCGACTTCCAATCGCGTACTTTTGCAGAAATATAAGGGAAAAATAACTGACTTGGTAGAAGACAGTTCAGAGCTGGTATATAAAGGAATAATTTTTTTTTAACATTGCCTGTTGCTCTCCTAAATATGAAAAGTCGATTTTTTTTCAGAACGACCATTTTGATTCTTGGTGTTTTTGTCTTGTAGAGCGGATTTCAATTGAGTGTCGTAAAACCAAATTTATTATACTTACCAATTAGACTACTCAGCCAATCTTAAACCGTAGTTAAACCAAAACGAAAAGCTAACTAGCTTTATAACATGAAATTATTGCGAATGCATTCTAAGACTATGGAAACAAAATGCAAATTGTTCTGCCACAACAAGTACACGAGTATACTTATAATAATTAAATGACTGTCGATTTCTAGGGTGGAAGCGTTCAGACCTTTATGTGCATATTTACAATTTGTTCAGTGGAATAACGATCGTAATTGCAGAAATATTGACCTGGTCTTTTTCTTTTATTTC